CTCAAGTAAGATTTTTGTTGGCACAAGGAGTCTGACAACAGCCAGTGCTCCACATAGAGATCTGATCTCATCTCATCGTGTAAAAATGCTGTAAAGTGAGGAGGCTTTCAAATATAATGTCATAAATAGACTTTCTATATCAATTAACTTCTATTAACTAAATTAATTCAACATTTGGTGTTCTGATTTAGGTGGATCGATGGGATCGATGTGCACTGACCGCTACAGTATTCTTGTCAGAGAACTCAGAGTCATGTCTCAATTTAATGATTTCTATTGTGTTATTTCAATGAGAGAAAATCTAGAGTTCGATTTTCTCGGTACCGTACAAAAACTTTCATTAACAATATAAACAAACATTATTATAACATTATCATTACAACTATAATGCCATTTTTTAGATGATTATTAACCCTTATGCGCTGTTCAGGGTAATTTGAAACCCCAAATTAAGTTTGCTGAAATGTAAAAATAAATCAAATATACCTTCAACCTTCATCTAAATGGCATGAGACTTCATGACTTTGTTGACACTTGCTAGCTCTACAAACATAAATAAATGGTCCAGACTGAACCTCAGAGACAGACATACTGCACAGACCTCATCATAACACATGCTGTAAACTCACTCTAAAGTCTTATTCACACCCCAAGCAAATATTCACTATGAACAAAACCTTAAATCGAAACTGCACTGATAAAAAAATTCTGCTTGATTTACTTAAAATATGATGAATTTTTTTGCACAATTTTATTACGTAGATCAAACAAGACCAGTCTTTGTACAAACTACTTAATTTTTCTGTCTGTTGAAAGAAAATTTGCACATAAAGTACACTTAATTTTAGTATTTCTTTAGTCTTTTTTGTGTGTGTGTGATCTACATAACTTTAAGTGTGTATTTTTTATATCTTTAAGTGTGAAATGTGTATTTTTGATTGAATCCAACTTAATTTTTAAATTTCCCTATTACAAATTTCAAGTGGGATCTACTTTGTTTTTCCAAATTTGTTAGTGTATTTTTAAGTTACATGTACTAAAATTTCCTAATTAGCAAGTATTTCTACTGAAAGTATAAATGCAGTTAGTTCTTTTTTTTTTTACAACTATTTACTATTCCACTACTGGTACTTTTCAATGGAATGCCAGTAGAATATATACTCATAAAATATGGAAATCTAGTTATTACATCACATAAAGCTGACATTTTTGCCATTTGATAGTAAAAACGGCACAGAATATTTTCTATAAAATTGTGTTTTTCAGTCCTTAACAGTAACATACTCTAAGACTTTAAAACAAGAAGCACACAAACATGATCCCAATGTGGAAATGAAGCAGATCTTCTTATAAAGCAAAATTTTATTTTCTTTGTGTTTCTATTGAAATAAATTCACATTGTGCAAAATATTTTCCATGAGTCACGTTTCTCACTTCTTAACAGTCATCTTTCCTTCAAATGCACCTTGAACATTAACAGACTCACAAACATGGTCCGAATTCAGTTTCTTTGGATAGCTTAGCTCCAAGGCATAAACAAGGCCCATTAGGTAGGTGCAAGCATGTGCTACATTGGGAATAGCAAAAAGGACCTCTGCTCCCTCGATGGCTATTTCAGTTTGCTTCTCGAGACCTCCATCCCTGGCTTTGCTGACCACAAGGATGGAGTACAAATGAAGTGAGGTCCTCTTGGATGGCTGCATCACTGTTGTCATCATAAACCTGTTAAATATACCAGAGAGAATTAAACCTACTTTTTTTGCTAATATGAAGAAGGTATATAGCTCTTTGCTCTCCCTCTGAACAGAAATCTGGGTGGGATTACGAGGTTGCTGTGGTAGTTTTGAGTGGTGTTACCTGGTAGTCCTTGATTAACTCCTCTGTCTTTTCACCAAGGTAGAGAATGATGCCTCTGATTGCAGTTTCTCTTTGGGACTCAATGCTGTTGTCCTACAAATATATTAAATATGAGATTATCTTAAATGCAGAATAGAATGCTACAACATTAAACTAACTACTACAATGTTAAAAGTACATGCCTCATTTATGATGCCATTTGAAATGAAAACAACTTTTTGTCTGGCCCATGAGCTAACTAAGTTCATTTAACTTTATCCCCCACTTTCCTCGCTACAATAAAGCCATTAATTGAAAGTCGCATACCTTTATGCAGTGTACTTGTCAAGAGAATCGCCTGGTAAGGACACAGTGTTATGGTTAGTGACTGATCAGTGCAAGAAAAACAAAAACAAAAAAACATAGCAAATAATTTAACTATAATTAAAAATAGTTTCAAATTTTCTTCTCTCCACAACCACTGCAGGTGG